GAGTTTGCAATCCTGGTAACTCGGCTTCCGGAGTTACTGGGATTATAGGTGTGTGCCACCATGCTTAGCCTTCAGTTTCTTTATTTCAATAAAAAGAGGAGAGCCATCCCTGCTTTTCAAGCCATAATAGGGATTTAAGGTGATGTGTATAAATATTTACACCTAAATACTCAGTAAACAATAACTGATGGTATTGGGTATCATCTTTTAAAAGGAATGGTGGTGCCAGGCACCGTTGCCCATGCCTGTAATCCCAGCGGCTCAGGAGGCTGAGGCAGGAGGATCATGAGTTCAAAGCCATCTTCAACAATTTAGCGAGGCCCTACACAACTCAGTAAGACCCTGTCTCTAAATAAAATATTTAAAAAACGCTGGGGATGTGGCTCAGTGGTTTAGTTCCCTCTGGATTCATCCCCTGGGAACAAACAACAACAACAACAAAGGAATGGAGGTATATGAACAAGAAGACAAAGGCATAAAACATGGGCTCACCTAAGATGTTTCCATTAAGAAGTGACTTACAGGGACTGGGTTTGTGGTTCTGGTAGAGTGCTAGCATATGTGAGGCACTGGGTTCGCTCCTCAGCACCATATAAATAAATAAACAAACAAAATAAAAATATTGTGTCTATCTACTACCAAAATGGAAATTCTTTTTTAAAAATTTTTTATTTATATATGATAGCGGGATGCATCACAATTCTTATTACACATATAGAGCACAATTTTTCGTATCTCTGGTTGTATACACAGTATATTCACACCAATTTGTGACTTCATACCTGTACTTTGGATAATAATGTCCATCACATTCCACCATCATTAATAACCCCATGCCTCCTCCCTTCCCCTCCCACCCATCTGCCCTATCTAGAGTTAGTCTATTCCTCCCATGCTCCCGCTCCCTACCCCACTATGAATCGGCCTCCTTATATCAAAGAAAACATTTGGCATTTGTTTTTTGGGGATTGGTTAACTTCACTTAGCATTGTCTTCTCTAATTCCATCTATTTACCTGCAAATGCCATGATTTTATTCTCTTTTATTGATGAGTAATATTCCATTGTGTATATATGCCACATTTTTTTTTATCCATT